TTTGGTGATGACAACATTCTGGGGGGAAAGCGGCCAGGGCTTCCTATCCCGAAAGGGCAATGGACCTCGGCCCAATCACGAAGGCTTGGTGCAACCGGACACCAACCTCGCATGCGCTGGAAGCTGAATGCCAGCATTGCTCTTTCACGACTGCACATCTGCTATACACGTTACTGCGACACGATTAATTGGACCACGACGACACTCACCCTACGCATAGCCGCATTGACGCACCCGTGACCTCCCGGAACGCAGCGTTATCTCTGGTCGTGTTCCGACATTCCCCACACGCGACGCCTGCTCCACCCCCGAGTACGCGGGCTGCATAGCCCTCTTCTCTGTCTTTCGCGCTTAAGCCTAAGAGGTCTTTCCGCGTACTTTAGTTATATACATTAAAAGAGAAGATATTTAGTAATAGTAGTTTGCTAGGCTATTTATCTAAAGTAGTTGTCTTTATATACACCTATAGTAGCTAAGAATAACTTTGTAATAAATACGTAATAAGTTATTATAATAGCTTATAAGGTAGAGATAGCTTATATAAAACTAGAGTTAAAGCTTAATAACGCATTTATAAAAGTGCGTTTACTACTATTTTTATCTTTTTATTATAATTATAAACGCTCTAAACTTCTAAAATTCTTTTAAATACTATTCTCTTATTTTTACTAATAACTAGGTAGCTTATTTTACTTTTTTAGTCTTTACTCTAGATCTTAAACTTAATATAATTTACTATAGAGCTTTATTTACTAAGAAGCTATTAGTAGTAGCTATGTATATATAGAAGAGCTAGTAAATACTTTATAAGCTTAGAGTAAAGGCAGCTTAGTTTATATTTAAGCAGCTTAATAATAGTATATAATTTACTTAGGTAATAGCGTAAGGTTACTAACGTTTTAGTCTCTAGCTTCTCTAAGTTTTGCACTAATAAGCTTATAAAGCTAAAGGCGCTACTTTAGAAGCTATTCTTAGCGTAGCTATAGCTTACGCTTATTAAGAAAATCTTTCTTAAATAAGTAAGAAGACTTAAGTAGTAGATAGTATTAGTAAACGTGTTAATTAATTACTATAGTAAGCAATTCTAGTAGAGGTAAAGGTAGAGAAAGAGCATTATAGGTTAATTTTGTAGCTTTGTAATATTTACTATTTGCATAGGTAGGTAGCGTTGTAGGAGGAAAAATCTGCTTCTAGACTAGCGCCTTAGCAAATGAAACTAGGATTACATTGATACATTGAGGTGCATAGCCCTCTCAACCATCACCATGATACAAGGCACGCGTCGCTGGCTCAGACGCAACCGCACAAACTTTGCCATCGGCGCCGGAGTGCTCGGCGCGGGTTATCTGGCGGGGCAGTATGTCCTGGGCAAGCTCGGGGAGGCGAGGCAGCGCATGAGCGATGATCGCATCGCCAAAGAGAAGTCCGCTCACACCGTGTCCATCACATGACATGCTCTAACGACAATGCAGTCTACGCCGCCGCTTCGAGCAGAACCAGGAAGACTGCACCTTCACCGTCCTCGCCATCCTGCCCACCGCGACCGAGAACATACTGGATGCCATTCCCGTCGAACAGGTGCTGGAAGAGCTGCAGAGACAAAAGGCAGAGCGCCTATCGCGGAGTGTCGGACCCAGCGAGATTGCCAGTTCAGCCCCCCCGAGTGTAGCAGACACGACTGAGGATGACGCTCGGAGCTCGAGTCTCCAGACGGATAGCTTCATCCATGCCAGCCAAATCGCTACCGAGGGTGAAAGCGGCACGGGCCCTACCGATGCCATCCCAGAGGTCAGGGAGGACAGGAAGAGCAAGAAGAGCAAGGCGCAGCTATGGAGCGAGATGAAGATCAGCTGTGAGTACCGTCATGTTGGCCCTGAGACTTGACATACTGACGCGACCAGCCATAACACGCGCCTTCACCCTTATCTACACCCTCTCTCTCCTCACGCTTCTTACGCGTATTCAACTGAACCTTCTCGGCCGCCGAAACTACCTCGCCTCCGTCGTGTCGTTAGCCGCGCCGCAGTCGACCACCGAAGGCGCAAGGATCAACTTGGAGAACAACGACGACGATAACTTCGAGCAAGCATATGGCAACGACTTCGAGACCAACCGCAGATACCTCAGCTTGAGCTGGTGGTTACTACACAAGGGATGCATAGAGCTTATCGAGAAAGTACGGACCGCAGTCAAGGACGTCTTCGGGCTCGTGAACCCAAGAGAAGAGATGACCTTGGAGAGACTGTCGGAACTTACCCTGGAAGTGCGCAAGAGGGTCGAAGGTGCAACAGAGGAAGAGCGAAGGTAGAGCCCCCATCTCATCTCAAATGACACCCGCTAACCCCTCACAGAACATGCAAGTGGCTCACCTTCCTCCTCCCACCGCAAGACCAGGAAGACTACGTCCTCCGCGAATCCGGCATGACCTCATCCTCCGAGTCCACATCGCCCACAACAACAACCTCCCTCCGCCGCCTCATCGACGAAACCTCTGACCTCATCGACTCGCCTGCCTTCACACATGTACTCACACAGCTCCTCGACGCTGCCTTCTCCCACCTCGTCGACGTCAAGATCTCACAGCTCTCCTACAAGATCCCGCCCATCTCTGACAACCACGCTCGCGTGCAGGAGATTGTTGGACACGACATCAAGGCCAAGGTTGCGAACAGCTTAGCCGTATTCTGCAGACAGGCGCACAGCATCGGTACCGGAGCCAACAATGAGTACCTAGCTGCTATCGAAGCGGTCGGTGGTCTTGAGGCCTTCGCTGCTGTCGTCTACTCCAGCAATTTTGAGTACGAAAGCCCAGAGGCTGCTGCTGTGTTGAGTCAATCTGCTCCTGCTCCTGTCGAGCTAACAGCGCCGAGCGTGGTGCCTGAGGTTGCAGCTTTACAGGATGTACAAGAGATCAAGTCAGACGATCCGTTCGAGAGCGCCTGGGGCAAGGCGCTGGCGAAAGAGGATGGGAAGCAGTTTTAGGGGATTGTACGATTGGTGCATGTAGGAGTGGCCGTCGCGACGTAGGATTCTTGAGATACCCGTAATTTGAACCTGTAACACTATCTTTTCCTCGTTCTTCATTTCACACAAGATGTGTATAACCCAATTGCGATAAGAAGTGTCGTGCCTTCCGGCCTCGGAATGTTGAGTCGTGACGTCAGAGCCATAGTGGGACCTGTGAACACCTCTCAACCACATGTACCTTTCGATATCCCTGCCGGTATCCCCCTGAACCACCAATACCAAATCACAGCCATCGTCGCAGAGTCTCCCCGGTACTCACAATGGCAAACCAACAAACTGCCCCCCAAAGCAAAAACGCCTACGTAACCCTCCTCACCCGCCCCAGCTACCTAGCCGGCGCAATCCTCCTCGCCTACACCCTGCACAAACACTCCCCCTCCACCCCGCTCATAATAACCTACACCCCGGAGACATTGCCAGAAACCTGCATCAACGCCTTCAAAGCCGAAGCCGCTTACTCAAACATAATCCTCCACCCCGTGGAACACCTCCGCCTGCCAGAAGATGGAACCGAACACGGCATGGTCGCCGAGCGCTTCATCGATACATGGACGAAACTGCGTGTTTTCGATTTGTGGGATATGCCTGGAGGGGGGTTTGAGCGGATTTGTTGGTTGGATGCTGATATGATGATCTTCTCGAACCCTTCGCCCTTGATCTTCAACGAAGAAAACGACGAGTATTTGAAGGGGGGTGATGGCATGCGTACAATGGCCGTACACACCTGCGTCTGCAACCTCGACCACGACTCCTGGGCTCCCGCGGAATGGAACCCGCAGAACTGCGCGATTGCCAAACTCACCAAGCCGGATCAGCTAGCGGAAGTGAAGCCGGAACCATACACATTGTCGAACTTCAACTCTGGCACTTTTCTCTATCGGCCTAGCAAGGAACTGTCTTCCTTTGTACTGAACAAGTTCGAGGAGTTGGGCAATACAAAGTTACGCGCTATGAAATTCCCGGATCAGGATTTCCTCAACGAAGCCTTCGACGGAAGGTGGAGCAGTTTGAGCTGGAAGACGAATGCGCTGAAGACGTGGCGGTACTGGCATGAGAATATTTGGCGCGACGATCAGGTCGCTGTGCTGCACTATATCGTGGATAAGCCGTGGGTGGCGCGGCTGGACGAAGATGGTAAAGCGGGATACTTGTGGAAAGACGGTGTGACGCACGGGTGGTGGTGGGATGAGTTTGAGACGTGGAAGAAGGAGAGGGAGGAGCAGGGGGAAAAGGAGTTGCTGCAGATTGTGGGAAAGTATGCGGCGAGGGAGGATGGGGTGGTGGATGAAGAGATGAGGGCTGTGGGGGGTGGGGCGCAGGATTTTGCGAAGAAGTGGCCTGCTAAGGATGGGGAGGGTGCTGGTAGAGGGGACGAGGAGAAGGCGGCGAAGAGCAAGGAACCGACGTTGTCGGCGGAGGCACAGGAGAAGGCGGAGCAGTTTGGAAAGGTTGAGGCGCCGCAGGGCAAGATGTTGGGGGAGAGGGGGCATGGGCGTGTTGTTAGGGGTGGGAGGGGATTTGGTGGGAGGGGAAGGGGTGAGGGGTGGAGCGTTATGCAGGATTGAGGGCGGTGTAGAGGGTAGAATGAGGTGTTAGAACGTGTGGTTGTAGGGAAGGCGTTGCTAGATGGATGCAAAAGTACAAGACATAGACTAGCGAGGAAGTATTCAACATGGTCTAACTAGGGAGGAAGAGATAGATAAAAGCATACTGTAGTCGTCAACACCGAACCTGCAAGCTAGAGCACTAGGTGATATAGTTTTGTATCACTTCTCGCATACATACTCTAGATCAATCATATATATCCCTACTATCATCCCATATCTCGGAAACCCGAACGCTGTCATTGGATCCCATATCAATAATAGAGATGCATGCTTTTAGATCAATCTCCTGCCTCCGCTCATCTCCAAACTGAAGCCCCATCCGAATCGAAAGACTCCGGCTTTCCTTCACCCCAACCAGACCCCCATTTACATGAGATCAATCAAGTTCACACCCTCATCTTCATACTTGATGATCGGACGACCAGTGTCCTTGGCAACAGGCGACGCGACGTTGTTGGCGAGGACGATGTGTCCGTTGTGCGTGAGCGAAGGGCCGCGGAGTTCAGCGGCGAAGGTCGGGCGGGGCGGAGGCATTTTGATGACTGGTTCTTCGCGCTTGTGGATTATGGCGCTGTTGGTGTTGCCGTTGGCATGACCGTTGGAATGACCGTTGGAATGACCGCTGTTGGGGCCGTTGACCTTGCCATGCGTCCTCGGAGTCTCTTCAGCAACTTCGATCTTCCTATCAGGTACTGGAGTGCCTTTTTCAGCAACGATCTCCTTCCGATCAACAGCCTTCGCATTCTTCTGATTGCTGTCCTCAGTTTCCATGCGGCCGAGAAGAGAACCAATGGTGTAGAGGTTGTGAGGATGATTGGCATCATACAAAAAGTCCAACTCAGGATCATCCCTCGCGATAAGGCCCTGACGGACCTTACTTAGCGTAACCTGCGTACGATGACACGCCCCGTATCCCTCTAGGAAACCGCGCTGGTGCGACTCCTTGAGTGCTTCTTTGCGGCCCGCCTCTTTACCCGCACCAAACCCATCGTTATACGCCTCCTCCGCAACCTCATCAGCCTTCTCATGGGTGATGGAGTTGTCGGCGAATTCAGCTTCAAGTTGCTCGCGGGCAATAGCCTTCCAGTTCTGTTCGCGCATCTGTTGGGCTGCTTCGCGGAGACGGAGGGCTTCGATCTTGATGTTGAGTTTGCCGTTCATGTCAGCTACGGCCTTCTGTGCGCTGAGGTCGGCTTCGCGGCGCGCATGTTCCATCTGCACGGCGCTCATCGGTCTATCGCCGTTTTCTTCTAGCGCGTACATGAGCTGCTTCTGGCCTTCGGTGAGATACACTTCGAATTGTGTGATCTTCTGCTCGCGGTCGTCGAGGTCGCGCTCTCGGGCTTCGACTTTGGACTTGAGCGTCAGGGTTGTGGCTTGGTCGCGGAGGAGGTTCGTCAACATGACGGATGAGGCGGCTTCGACCTTTTGTTGCTGCTCAGCTTCGATGGACTTGCGGAGACGCACACCTTTGTTGCGCTCGGCATCAAGTTCGTTCTTCAGCTTCATGAGCTGTGCGTTCATGCGGACGACTTGTTCGCGATCGCCGTGGTCGCCTCCTCGGGATCCGTGAGAGTTGAAGTGGGAGCGAGGGGCGCGTGGGGCATCGTTGAATCTATTGACCTCGTTTGGCGACATCATGTGCTGCATACGTTAGTTTTGCATGCATCAAAAGGCTTGTGGGACTGCCTACCCTCGGGTCTGGAAGGCCGAAAAGGCGGGATGGAGGCGACTGGAAGTCAGGACGCATGTGTGGGGGTAGACTGTGAGCTGGCCTCGAAGGCCTCGGCGCCTCGATGTTTACGTCTATGTCGGTCTTGAAGTCGCTGTCCTCGGTTCCGATGTCAATGTCGGTCTTGGTGGCCTCGACATGCAGTCCAGGGGGCGATGCCAGAGGACCTTCCTTCTTGGCGATTGGAGATGCTGTTCTTTACATTAGCAGATGATTTTGGTGATGGAAGTGAGACATACCAAGCTTGGTCTTATCCTTATCATCAAGCTGCTCTTGTTGCTCCTGCACAGTCACAGGGATTGCTCCAACTTCGTTATCGAGGTCTTGCTCTACGATCTCCCCGTCTTCAAGAGAGGCGATGCTCTTGCTGTCCTCTGCAACAATTTTGGGCGAGGGAAAGGGAGAACCAAGAGTAGCCGTCTTGACACCTGTCGAGTCTTCGATAGCGACTTGGCCTTGGGTATCTTTTGACTTCTCGATCTCAGGCGCAGATACTTTCGACACGACGGGCGAAGGATCAAAGTCCAATGTGTTCTCCTGTATCTTGACCTCGCCATCGTGTGTCTCTGTGTGCGCATCGGTTGTCTTGATGTCTGAGGGCGACGCGATGTCTAGATGAGTGGTCTGGTCGTTTGAAGTCGCCATGTTGGCGGCTACTTGTTGATGCGGCTGCTCGGAGTAGTAGTACTGAATTGCTTGTTATAATCGAGTGACAAGATAAACGATGCCGCTGTTGTGGAACTGACTCAAGCAGTAATCGAGCAAGTAAAGGCTAATGAGGTGTATCGATAAGATGCCTATCAAGGTGGAGGATAGAGAATGGTAAGTATAGAGCGGTAGAATGTCAGGCTTATATGGATATACAATCGCCTGGTGAGGGGCGCTAGCACGTGAAGGTGTATGGCCGCAATGGCCACCACTCAAGTAAGGAAGTAAGTAAGTAAAGGCAGAATCATGTCGTCAGATCGACGGCGGTGCGATTGAGGTAGATCCACAGGCGCTTTTCCAATGAATGACTTGCATCCGCGTCGCGCAATGTCACCGGAACCTGGCCAGTGTGAGGACATAGGCTTATATAACCCGATGTGTGCGTTTGACAGTGTCGTTTGATGCTTGCTAGTGCGCATGTCGCGTCCTTCGGTACCTGATGTTGTCACCGACTATCGTGTTCTCAACAATTTAAAAGACGCAAAGCGCGTTGCCATTCGACAACTTCTACCTGAAGGCTTCGTGGACCCAGTACCGCTCTAATACTTGCTCATAACGCACACCAATATCAAGGAACGCCTTCGTAGTCTTGGGCGCCGCAGACAACTCGAACTCAGCTTGGAAACTCACGTCTTTCAAGCTCAGATCAGATGTCCTGCATTCCGCGATGAAATCCCGCAGGACAGTCGAGTTATCCAAGCTCTTGTATCCCGCCCGGTATTGGCTTTCAACACCAATCAGCATCGTGAAGTCTTTAAGGGACGGTGATAGCAGCTCGGCTATTGGGGGCGCGTTCCTCGAAAAATCAGCGTACGGAGCAGAAGCACCGAGCAAGCAGTTCTGAGATATAACCAACTTGCTCAAACGTTCGAATGGTCGAAGAGTGCCAAGAGGTTTGAGCGGTATCATCTCTTCGTAATCTTCGTCCAAATCAGAGTCCGAGGCTTCCTCCTCTGATCGAAACATGATTTCACGAATATCAAGATATAGATATTCAAGCGTGTCAGCGTGTCGTAAAAGGCTGGCGTACAGGTCGGATGGCGACCCTTCAAAGTCCTCGATAGGCATCCATGTACAGACAACATGTCTTAAGCCTTCACATGCCGATAGAATACTGGCCATCGCCTCTATCTCGAGGCGACATGACGTGGTTTCGAGGCGCTGCAGCGTTTTCCATGAGCCAAGCTGACGCATCGATGCTGGCGATCGTGCTACGACGCTACGCGCTCCGAAGTCGGTGAGCATAGGCGCCGTCGATACCACGGAACAAATTTGATCAAACGAGATGGTTTTGGCGTCGAGTCCGTAGTGTTGGAGAGTCGTATTGACGCACAATGTTTGAAGCTTGCTAAAAACATGTTCGGCTCCTGGGTTGGACGTAGGCGAATGCGTTATTTCCCGTCCAGGGACAAAGTATCTCCAGAAGGATCGATCACGGTCTTCTATATTCTCGATCGACAAGTGTTGTAGGTTGACCGCCTGTTTGACAACGTCGGCTATCATGGTAAGGTAATGTTGTGCAATGGTGTGCGGAGGTGTGCTGTCGTTCTGCAACTTCTTGTCCATGCGTCGAATCTCCACGTACTTCAGATACTTGTTAAGTTCCTCACCCGAGCCAGAGGAGTCTAAGATTCTTTCGCGAAACAACTGGAGAGGTTCGGTGCCATGCTCGGCGGCGGTCCCTATGAACGAGGCGTACAGGATTGGGGTAGCCATTCGCCTTAAACAACGAGATGTCAGACAGAGACTGTACAAGGCCAGCCTGCGGATGTGATTGTCGGATTGACGATTTGCCTCTATCGCCACGTCTTTCTTGTGTTCGGTGAACCTGAAGAGCGTGTCGTGAGAGCGAATGGCGTCGAGATGTGTGATTATCTCCTGCACCAGCTCATCCGGAAAGCCCGCAAGCGACGCGTTTTTGGAGCTCATGGTCGATCGATGTATTTGGCTGCTTGAAGTGCGTGTGAATGAGTGAATGCATTGAAATTGAGGTTTGTTGTTGCATGAGCGCAGAGATAAAGGGCGTCGTGGAAGTTGACAGGGCGTTAGGCTGCCACGCCGCTAGCTCATAAGAGGAAAGGTATTGACTGTTACACACCTGGGCAGGCGCCAGGGAATACCGACAACTCCACATCACGATAGTTACACCCGGGCTAATGTGTACGTTGACAGGCAAGACTCACAAGATGTTGTTACATTATTATGGGTATATCGCAAGCTCAATCAAATCCTCCAATCAGCTCACACCACCCTCGTCGTCTTCCCCGTCTCGACATCGTATATCCACCCACTGAACCGAATGTTCTCCTCGATCGCTTTGATTCTGAGCCATTGTATATCCTTCTTGACTTGGATCTCCAGATCGCGGAAAGGCCGGAAGTCGAGAGTCTCCACCTCTCTCGCGGCTATTTCTCCCCTCTTCTTCATGACCACGGCTTTCGCAGTCGGGTTGTCGAATGTGAGCATGCCGCATCCGGTGTGCTTTACGACGATGACTTCTCGTGTTCCAAGCAGTTGTTGCGATATGACGATGGATCGGAACGCGTCGTGTACACAGCCGCCGGCGTTGCGGATGACGTGGGCGGCTCCGAGAGGGATGCCAAAGGCGGCAGTTGGGTCGATGCGCGCGTCCATACATGTTACTGACGCGTCATGTTAGCGGCCGATGGCTGGAGATGTGGTCGCAGGTGCTTACCGATGGTGTATCTTTGACTGGGTGGTAGTGCTAGATGGCCCTGGTCGAAGGAAGCAGCATACGCCTGGTTCCCGAGCTCGAGGTTCCTCTCTCCGTGTGTCGGCATTGTCGGTTTTGGTTATTTGAAGGCGTAAGAGGTTATGATCGGTTTACTGCTGGATGCATCGCCATCCCCTGCGACCTTATATATCGCCATGTCGCCGTCCTGATTACTACGATACGCGCCGGTTGCTTTTCGCACCTAAGGAAAGTTGCGGCATTGCGGGGGTGAATTTCGCCATGTTACTGGCCTGATACAGTTGGCGTTGATACAGGAACGACATGCGACAGACGTTACCGCAGCTGCACGTCTCCGGCAGAATGGCATCAACCCAAGGCCGGTTTCATTGGTCATCTCGACAAGGGTCCTCAGGCGGATCTCAGGCAAAGACGGCAAAGGGTGGGGCAACCCTTCTAGCGTGTCGCATGCGCATCTTCAGATGTTCCATTAATCCCGATCCTTCATTCTTGCTCCCACAAGGCGTCAATGCTTCTCTCTGTTAAATCTACTCTTTACCCTCTTGGGTTCCATGCTCATGTAATTCGGCATCCTGACTGAATCGCGCAGAGGATAGCGTTCGGCCTGACTCAAGATATCCGAGACATGAAGAGAGATGGAGCCGCTCATCAAACCCGGATAGTAGATATACCTTCCAGGAGATAAGAGACGGGTTACCGGACGAACTACTGCACACTTCGAATTGCCGTCGCCGCAGAGCTGGCATCAGACGCCACCCCCCAATGGCGCAGTAGAAGTCTGACAGACCAACACCAAACGGCCAATGTACCGCGCGTCGTAGACAATTATCCGTCGGACAAAGTATTTCAAAATCCAGGTGTCATTTCAATGGCCTAAGTTCAGGTCCTCTCGAAAAACGAGAAGTATCGTCAACACAAGAGCTTGCAATGGCCATTCTGTGTAACGAGATCATCGTCGAATTATCAATACTGGAGGAGCTAGGCCTGAAACGGAATAGCTTCCAAGACTATCACTCCAAGGACAACGCCTGAATCGCCATGGTGCTCCGACCTAAGGAAGACATCTATAAGCCAAGAAGCGTACCGACGTTCTAGGAAGAAGTCGTCAGATGGGGTGGAAAAGAATACTGATGATATTTACAACTCCACTCCGCACGCTTCGAGGCTGGGTATGACGCTGCGAGAGCGTCATGCCTTACAAATCAGTTCACGGCCTCTCATGAGAGTGTGCATCTCAACCCATACATTTACTTCCTTCTTACCTCTACTAGACCCGCTATTTCTCAATCATCAATCCATCATGGCCTTCCCGCAATCCCCGGCCATCGACAGCTCGCGCTGGCATCAACGAATCGCGTCAATCACCACAACATCCAACGAACAGGTCCGTTTAAACTACATCGAATGCGCACCACCACCTTTGACGAGAACAGAAGGCGTCATACTTCTCATCCACGGCTTCCCCCAAACATCATACCAGTTCCGGCATGTCATCGCGCCGCTATCAGAGGCCGGCTATCGCGTTATCGCGCCCGACTACCGTGGCGCAGGACAATCTTCAAAACCCTTGACAGGCTACCAAAAGACGCAGATGGCAGAAGACCTACGTATCCTGGTACAGGAGCACTTCGGTATCAACGAGAAGATTAATGTTGTGGGACATGACATCGGTGGCATGATAGCGTTCGCGTATGCATCGCGCTATCCCGCTGATGTCGCTAGCGTCATTTGGGGTGAATGCCCGCTACCTGGTACTTCGTGCTACGAGAATGTCAAAGGCACACCAGACGTCTTCCACTTTGTGTTTCACCAAGTGCCGGATCTTCCTGAATTCCTGATCGCGGGCAAAGAGCGGGAGTATCTCAAGCACTTCTTCGATAAGATTTCGTGTAACAGTGCGGCTATTTCGCCCACCGATCTCGAGCATTACGCCCTGGCGTATTCGCAACCTGGTGCTATCCGGGCGGGCTTGGAGGTTTACCGCGCGTTTGAGAAGGATGCAGAGGAGAATAGGAATTGGGTTGCTGAACACGGGAAAGTGAAGGTACCGTCACTACTCATGAACGGGGAGAAGTTTATGCTGGCACAGGCTGCGGAGGGTATGGCGAAGGAGTATCATAAAGGTGCGGAGATGGTGACGATTGAGGAGGCGGCGCATTACATTGCGGAAGAGAATCCCGAGGCATTTGTGAAGGGTGTGTTAGAGTTTGTTGCTAATCACTAAGCGCACTCAGATCGTAGACAACTATATAGGTGCACTGAATTACGGCTTCCACATCAGTTTCATATTGACGACGTGATGGAGCTTTCAGTAACGAAACGTACACTATTCACCACCGCGACCCCAGCCGCAGAGACCCCTAGCGATTACTACCAGTCTGGATACATGAGCGGGTATGCAACCTCAAAGGGCTGTCTTGGTAGATGGTTCTCACCTGCAATCCATATTGGCTTAGACCCAAAGTCATACAGTAATTCATTCTGGAACCCCAGTCGCTGTTCAAGGTGCAGAGTTTCACCATACAGGACTTCCCTACAAAAGCGAGGGAAATTCAAAGACCCGCCGAATCGGCTGATGTATATGGCAACAGGGAACTCAGGGGCAAACTTGCGCCTGCATGCCAGAAATGCAGAGTATAGCCCTATGCGCTCTGGCTCACGTCTCAAAGGCAGCTGTATGCGGAGTCCCGCGTTTGTCATGTCGTAATTTGGCATCGGGTCTAGACGATCAATTAGACCGGGTGGATACTCGCATGGTTCGTAGCTTGCTCCGTTAGAGAAGCACGACACACTTGGCGCTAGCATGTCGCCGTTGACTGTCTCTGACTCCCAGGCGAAAAGGGAATGGTCAGTACTTGTCCGCAGGATCTCGAGTTGTAGTCGCCTGAAAGCGCTGCTTCTACCCTCTCCGTACAAAGTTGCCATATTCACACCAAAGATACCCATTAGGGAGTACGCTTCGTCTTCCGGTCGCGTTGTGACTCTGCTCGCCGCCCACGACATCTTCTCTGATACGCCCATAGCACTGATGGCTTCGCGGTCTCTCAGGACCTCCACATCAATGTTGGAGGCTATAGAGACTTGATGGCACGAATCAGCTTTTGTGCCGATCTTTTTCCAGCTCTTTGCGTAGAAAGTCAACTTGAGCGGGGCGATTAGCTCTTGCAGAGTCCACCCTCTTGAAAACCAAGCTGATCTGGAGAGAATTCGATCTTCACCGAGCTCCACATCGTCCAAGTATGCAATGCACCACGCTGAATTGGTGTAGTAACTGTACATCGAGTTGATGGCTTCTGATAGCTCGGCGCTGGAACTCTTGTCGATGCAGCAAGTATCGCTCCATAAATAGCTAAAACCGTGTTCAAGCGCAACACGGCACGCCATCTCAAGCTTCGCGTAACCCTTCTTGCTTCGTGCAACACTGCGGTCCGCGGATGCGATGTCATCGTATAGAACTTCTTGCCAACGCCATCGATGCGAAAGGATCGCGTATCGGGGTAAAATCTCTCCTTTAACCTCATGTAACGAGATCTGTAGGGTGGGATCGAGAGCATCATTGGACTCAATATAAAGGAGCCGCATTGGTCTGTGACTAGGGTCGCTAGTATGCGGATAATAATGTTTATAGGGTGGCACGCGTTTGTATCACTGAGAAGGTCGAGGCTGAGCAAGGGTAGATGCGACGTGTCTTGTGCCTCTTAGCTAAGCGCTTCGAGCTCATTGGACGCCTATACGAGACCAATGGCGGGCACACACGGCACGTACAACATGGAAACATCCCGACTAGATATAGCAGTCCTCTTGTAGTCGCGTGAGCACTACGGTACTCTCACATCGAACTTCCCTGTAGCCTCCGGTTTCGAAAGCACCCAAAGTATCCCCTCATCAACACACTGATCCCAATGCTCAGACGCCTTCAACGCCTTCCCAAACCGCCTATGACCATGCGGCACGCCCTTGAAAAGCGTAGTAGAAGTCGGCACATTAGCCTCCGACAGCTTCTTTGAAAACAACAGTGCCTCATCACGTAGGGGGTCCAAGCCCGCGATACCAAACACCGTAGGAGGAAAACCCTTGACCTCCTCTTCCGTCGCATTGACAACATTCATCTTCGTGTCTTTGAGATCTACATCCCCGATCTTCAGCAGCTTGGTAAAGAAGTCGATGGTTTTCTTCGGCAAAACCGGTGCATCTTCGTTCTCAACGTAGGATGAGGTTGAGGGGTTGAGTAGCTTGCCTGGCCCTTGGTCGTAGGTGGCTGGGTGGGCGAGCATTGGGATGATTAGGATCTGGCCGGCTATTGTGGGTAGACCTGCGATGTGTTCGCTCTTTCCAAGGTGCTGCTCTAGAGTCAGTGAAGCAGCTAGGTTGCCGCCTGCTGAGATGCCACCAACGACGACTTGAGATGGATCGCCTCCGAGCATGTCGATGTTCTTGTGCAGCCAGACGAACGCGTCATGAGTGTCGTTCCAGGCGGTTGGGAAGATGTGTTCTGGTGTATGGCGGTAGTTGACATTCAGCACCAGAGCCCCAGTCTTGATCGCGGTTTGCGCACATAGCGGGTCCTCGCTACTCAGCGATCCTGTCTTATCGTCAGCCAACAGACCTTGATACATCACAAGCCAAACGTGTTACCGAAGATGAAGCCTCCACCGTGGAAGTACAGGTATACAGGAAGCTTCTCGGATGCATCCCTCTTCACGGATCGATAGGTTCGAGCTTCAATGGTTGAGCCATCGCGGGTCGGAATGGCGTGATCTTTGGTCTGGACATGTGGTGCGAACAATTGCTTCACCTCTGCAGAGCGTGTTTCTCGCTCAGAATTGACCGCATTACGCAGAACGATTGGATCCAGCGAGATGTCGAAAGTCCGGGCGGGCAGTGTCTTTTCCACTGCCAACCATTCATCGGATGGTCCGCCGTACTGAGAGAAGTCCATTGTCGATTTGATGAGAACAGATTTGCTGCCTTGAGTGGAGGGCTTGAAGCGATATGTGTCCGAGATGTAGCCAAACTTCGTACGAGCCTAGCATTGACGCGTCAAGTCCCCTTCGTCATATCTGCGCCCGGTCGCTAGCGTCACCCCGCAATGTACCGAGGTCCTCACATGCATGCCACCAACACCATGTTTGCCTTTTTGGAGCTGCTTGTTGTCGGCGCACCACCATTAACCTAGTCGCTTCGACTTTGGAACCCTTGGCTCGGAGATAACTACGTGCGTTTGCTTCTGAACTGAATAAGCCAAATTGTCATCTGCGAACACCAGCCGGAATAACGTCATATACCTGAGTCCAACAAGATGGCTACAGTGTCCTCTGAACTTCCCACACGCGGACTCAAAGGCAAAGTCGCCATCGTGACTGGAGCAGGTTGCGATGGTGATGGAATTGGAAACGGGCGTGCGATATCGATCATGCTCGCCGATGAGGGCTGCCATGTCCTCTGTTTGGATCTGAACATGGAGTGGGCTCAGAAGACTGCGGAAATGGCAGCCTCAAAACTGCATCGCGGAAGAGCCATCGCGATTCAAGCCGATGTCACCAAGGCCAATGACTGCGAGGCTGCAGTAGCCAAAGCAATGCAAGAGTTCGGCAAGCTGGACATACTGGTGAACAACGTCGGTGTCAGCGGTGCATCAGGAACGGCGGTTGATGTCGACATGGAAGCTTGGGCGAAGGGACTTGAAATCAATGTGAGCAGTATGGTACAGATGGCGAAGTACTGCATACCAGCTATGCAGAAGAATGACGGCGAGATGAAAGGTAGCATCGTCAACATGGGTTCAGTCGCTGGACTAAAGGGCGGTACACCTCATCTGCTGTATCCGACCAGCAAAGGCGCGGTGGTGAATATGACAAGGGCGATGGCAGCGCATCATGCAACTGATGGCATCAGGGTGAACTGTGTCTGTCCAGGCGTACGTTCTTCATAGCTGCGGTATAGTGACATACTGACACGAGGCAGATGCTGTACACGCCGATGATGTATGCAGGTGGCATGAGCGAAGAAGCACGAGAAGCGCGAAAGAAGAGAAGTCTGCTGGGCACGGAAGGCAATGGATGGGATGCAGCATGTGCTGTGACTTTTCTGAGTTCAGATCATGCGAGATGGATAACGGGTGCGGTGTTGCCTGTCGATGCCGGTGCGACAGCTGCAGTAGGAATCGGTATGCCGAAGAGCGCCAGTGTCAACGGCTAGAGGATGGAGTACATACGGCTAGATGGCAGTGAGGAGATGCAGGTGTTGAGGTTTGGCGCAAAACGGGAAGGAACCTCGGCACATCGGCACCCGGCGGCTCATTGGCTTGTACCGGCGTCACAATGCAGCCTCAAAATCCCAACACCTCTTCGTGTACTTCTCGCGACAACTACACAGCACTTCCATCCCCACATGGCATCAGCCTTACACACGTGATAGAAATCTCGTAGTCCATATGAGGAAGGACCACATGTGGGGTGGAGGGCTGCCCGATGCGCACGTTCATTTGCACCAATCGGAGCCTTCCCCAGACATTGAGCCCAGCGGTCCGCTCCTTTAGTCCTTTCTAGTTTCTGCGCTGCACCCCAGATTTCCGCTAGAAATATCTTGGCTTCTCAGCAGTCATGGTGGTCATTCGTGGAAAGCCGGATGATCACAAAATGTAAGTCGTGGACGGAAGAACTGGGGTTGTGGCGCATGCCTTCAATCTCGTTGCGGCTCAAGATCAAGTGCGATGTCAGCTTTCTTATAAGATGGACCGCTACGAGTACATTGAGAATCACCAGTCCGACTGCAGGTTTCATCCTCTCTCTTTACCGCTATGAAGTTCCTCCATTCGCTCAGCACATGTGTGCTTGCACTCTCTTCCCTCGTCAGCGCAGCAAGTTTCAGCAACCCACTCAAGCAAAAGGATGGCTCAGACCCTCACATCGCCTATACCAATGGCTACTACTATATGATGACGACGACATGGACGAACCTTTCAATCACGAGGGCGAAGACGCTTGGAGGCTTGAAGACAGGAGAGACAAAGGTTGTCTGGACCGACTCGAACCCTGACAGATGCTGCAACATGTGGGCACCTGAGCTGCACTATCTCGATGGTGCATGGTACATCTACTATACTGCCGGCCGCAGTGGTACCGACAACCTGGATCTCCAGCGCCCTTATGTGCTCAAAGGTGAGAATGTTTCATCGTATGGATGATGAGTAATCTAACAGTCGCAGGTGGTGCGGACCCATTCGGGACATACACCTACCTCTCCCAGTTGACCAGCGTATGGGGTATCGATGGTTCTATTGTCCGTTTCAGCAAATGGGGTAACTACTTCACCTGGTCTTGCTTCTCCGGCGCCCTTCAGTCACTCTGCATCGCACCCATGACCTCGCCTGGCAAACTCGGTGCTACCAAGATCCTCTCTACACCTACTGAGTCGTGGGAAACCAATGGTAGCCCTGTCCAAGAAGGTCCAGTTGCTATGTACCACGGTGGAAAGACCTACATCGCTTACTCGGCAAGCTTCTGTTGGACACCCAACTACAGCTTGGGTCTGCTCACCTGGAATGGCTCGGGTGACCCGGCGCTCAGTGAGAGCTGGAAGAAGAGCGATGGGCCTGTCTTCACCAATGCCAACGGCAACTACGGGCCAGGTCACAACGGGTATGTTGACCACTCGACATCGCGCGATATTCATGCTGACCACGATGTAGTTTCTTCACCAGTCCCGATGGCACAGAGATATGGAATGTTTACCACGCTACTGCTATTCAGACTGGCGCCTGCGACGGCAACAGGTACACGATGGCGCAGAAGGTCAACTGGAACGCTGATGGCACGCCGAACTTTGGAACTCCTATCAGGCCAGGCGCCACACTTGCTGGACCTTCTGGAGAGTAGATTGTCGATCGTAGTTGGCCTGCGATGGAAGCTCTTCTTGTATATATCTGACGTTGCGCATGGTTGAGATGTACTAAACTTTGTTCCATATCAGAATAGTAGTCGGGCCACAGTTTGCGCAGACTATGTGTACCACTCTTCGTATCATGCTGCATATCTGAGCAGCGATTGGAATATGTGATCATCGTTGTTACCAGGACAACTCTACCAAGGGTGACTGGCCCCAAGCTTGGATCGAAGTCAGCTCATGTCGCTGCATAAGAGTCGGTGATGGGGGCTGGGGACCGAATCGATAACCTGTGCTGACCGGGGCGGAGCCGAAGGCGCGCCGATCATCTGCCTTGCTGTGCACGATGCCTGACCCGGCAAAGGTGTAATATGCTTAATCTAGGAGTTGGGCATATGAAGATGCTGATATACGAGCAAACAACGTCGCTGCATGCGTACACAAGATGGCAAGTGAAGGTGGCAGGTGATAGAGTGTCGGATGACGTCGGGGATGCACGAGTCATGGAATCTGCAAGGTCCCGCACGTGCTAGCGCGTCCCGCGCCAACATGCGTCAGCTGCACCCCGGACTCCGCTTCTGGCCAACTCTATCGCCTCCGCCTCCTCCGCTCTTCTTCTTCTTCTTCATCCATCATCACGGTGTTCAGCTGGCTGGCATCATCAACATTTTCATCAATCTCCAGTTCGATACCGTCAG